AGAAAATGAACTGGAGGGTTACATACTAGCTTTTCAATTCCTAGACCTATAAGTGAAATAGGATATGGCCACTCAGAGGCCCTTGACTATAACTACCACAGGGCCCCATCCAACAAGAAGGGCACTGGAAACCAGTGTGTGATGACTTGGTTATTAGTAAGTGTTCCTGACACACTGTCTCAAATGAAAATAAAATTGGGTAGTGATTTAGATTTTCTTCCAATCAAATCTCTTACCTTCTCCACATAGATTTTATTAATTATACCCTTTTAGATATTTTATATCTCTCTTTTCTGATATTCCTAGCATGGTTCATACATCTTAATATTTTTCTAGAAAATATTTATACCTTAATACCTTATTTATGTACAAATGAAGAGCATTAAAGGTTTATTCATTTGGACTTCATGAATTTTGAGTATGCTATATTGTCCACAAGTTGGCCAAGTGATTATTTATCTTTGAAAAAATAATTTAATGTACACATTATTAAAGCAAAAATTGTCCAAAGAAGAACACTGAAAATGTATAATAAAATAACTAGTTTATGTGCCATTTTTAAATACTGTTCACAATTTACTTGTTTGCTTAGAAACAATATTTATTTAGCAATATATGCAAGGCTGGCATAGGATCTGTGGGTTACATAGATACTTGTAAGGTATGTTGCCTGCCCTCCAGGATGGGATCTCTAGAGATTAACATATGCCTAGATACCTTCAAATGAAACAAAATAAAATATTATCTTCATGGAATTACCTTTGAGTTGTCTCAAATTATTTTAATTGTATTAGTCAAATAAATACAAGTATGAACTAAGTATGAGTTTCCTATCCTTATAGTTCTTGTAAAGTTAAACATAAATTTACAAATCAAATACTAACAAAATAATTAATCAATAAACATCTTAATGTAAATTTATTGTGATGGATAATGTTGTTTTGCTAAAACCAAATAGTTGTACACAACGTAAATGTAGTGCTATTACAGCACTAGTTTTTATAAAGTATGTGGTTTTACACACTACCATATATTTGTGTGCTATGTAATGAGTGACTTAGTTTTCCAACCCATTTCTCCAATTTGTCTTATGGTGAAAATTTTGTACAACCTTTAATAAATGTCATATAGCCCTCTTTTGGTCCAAATGAATCATTTGCTTATTAAGCCCATAAACTAGAATTTTTTATATAATACCTTGCACAATTCAATTACAAAAGCATATCCAATCTCCATATTTAGGGTATTCAGATGATCTTAGATTCATAATATATTTATGTTCAAACCTTTCAAACTATGGCTAACATATATCTATAGATTTACAAGCTTGCTGGGAGAAAAACTGTGAACTTTCTGAAAGTAAACCTGTAGACTTCAATTAAAGAAACACTGTTCTAGGAATATACTATTTAGCTACAAATCCTGCTTTATCTATTTTGTAAAGTCATTCTCTTAAATTATATCAAAATTAATATGCAAGTTCAAATGCATCAGTTTTTACTTTCATAGAATCTTAAAATTAATATTTCAAGATAATTATAATTTAAACCAACAGTCATTATCTCTAATTCCTTTATAATGTACTATCACAATTTTAGTGTGGAGCACCTAAAAACGGTCACAAAATATCATGGGGATTACAAAATTTTCAAAACTAATTTCATTTAACACTGATTATCTGATAAATTGAAGATTTTAATTCAGACAGGATTCTATAATTATAGCATTTCTTGAGTAAAGCAAACACAAATATTACAAATGCAGAGCAAGATTAGTCCCTCTTCAAATTGCATTTTGCAAGGCATTACCTACTACTTTGTCAATTCAAGTAGCCCATCATGGTTAATGACTGACTTTTTAAAAAAAGAACATTAAAGAATTCTTAGGTGAAGAATTTATAAAGTTGTAAAGGAACTATCTGAGAGGAACTGAATCTACTTCTATGAATGAAATTTAGGTTAGAAACAGTTAATATAAGAATAAACATATTGAATAAGTTACCAGTTAAAGATACAGTGTAGTTACAGCGTTGACTCTGCAGGACATATATAGATAACTAGCAAGTGTTACATAGATACAGAAGAGGATATAGATATAAATGCAAATATGCTTAAGGAGGATTTAAAATATATATATATGGATATAGACATAAATTCAAATGTGTTTTAAAAGGATTTAAAATATATAGAAAAGGACATAGGTACAAATGCAAATATGGTTAAGAAGGATTTAAAATAATATTTAAGGATATATGTTATTTAAATATACAAGATAAGAAAAAAAGGAAGAACACAAGGAATCTGTAGAACACTCCAGTCTTTATCATAAATCATTTAGTATCAATGTCAAATGTCAAAGCATAACTGTCAATAACCTACTGAAGAATGGTTAAGTATCATGTCCTGCATCCACCCTCACCTGGATTCTCAATTTTTTCCTTCCCAATTTGATTTTGCTTTTCTACATCTACATCACATATCATTCTTGCCACTTTTCAGTGTCAGAGCTCAAATGCTGATTTTCGAGCAACTTTCTACTACAACTGGTGTTCTGTGACTACAGTTTTAATTTTTTGTAATTATTTTTAACTTTTTTACAATGTATGTAACACAATATAATGTAGTTCAGAATAGAAATTACAGAGTTATATATGCATTCTGATCTTGGTTGTGTCAATCTACTACCCATGTGATTTGGATAATTAGTTTAACCTCTTAAAATTTCAGTTTTCTGAACAGTGAAATGGGGGATAATAGTGCTTTACCTCATCCTTCTGTTTTGAAGACCAAGTAAGATACCAGATTTCAAAGTACAGGGGTTTGTATATTTAAGCATATGTAAATGTGGGGTGCTTTTACTTACATTGGATTTTAATTTCCTCCTTTATAGCTCTCTTAGTGTATAAATACATTTTGTTTTGTTGTAACAGAAGACTTTCTATATATAACTCCATAGCTTTAGGATACAAAATAGTATTTTCAAGATCAAATGACACCATTGAGACTATTATAAAAAAATTGTTTTTTATGGTTGTCTCCTTCATATCACTACTATTCACAATATAAAATAATTTATGGCCTTCATAGTTAAGCATAGACTTAACTATTTCCTACCCTGTTAACATGAAAATAATGTTAATAATTGTAAAGAAAGTAAGAGCCAGTTTCATAAGTAAACCTGCAGCACCCCTTCTCCCACCACAAAAAAAGACCCAAGAAACAAATTGCAAATTCAGGAAAGGTATTTTGTACAACATTAGGATATAGTAAGGTCTGACTCTGATATAGTAAATACAGATATATACACACCAGTGAGCACATATAGACACATTTAAAGAAAAATAATCAACAAATTGAAATTTTCCTTCATTAAATGTGCTTGCCACTGGATATATAAGGTAGGACATTGCCCTACATTATGATTATGCAGTCATATGCATTTTATGGATACTCCCAAAACAGTCTCTTTACTGTTTTAATAAAGACAATTGCTATTTTTTCCGAAAGATACCTACAGAAAATTTAAAACAATAATTATTTGCAAACATAAGTATTAGTTGGTGCCAATAATGAACCACCTTTTGGCAGTAGTGTTGGTGTTCTGATATTGTACACTCAGTCACAGCTGGTATACAGCTGCTGCTTTTTCCTCCCTCTCTCCAAAAGTACCTTAATAATGTCATCATATTTTTACTTTCAGTGTAAGTAAAAGTGACAGATCTATAATCAAAGAGACTTCACAGATTTTAAAAGTGAGTTGATCAAACTCCATGATTTTTTTAACAGAAACTCTCACATGGACCATTTTTCAAATAAGCTTTCAATGACAAGTGACTTGATTACAAAAAATTATTGTCAGGCACTGCTCGGGAACTAGAGATAAAATACAGAACAAAACAGACAAACTCTTTGAGCTAATGGAGCTGACATTCTGGTGTGGGGGACACAGGAAAATATAAGTAACGAAAGTGTGTGTGCATGTGTGTATGTGTGTTGCTAACTTCTTTCAAGGTAAACTGTAAACCAGTTGGTGATGTACTAAGTAGGGTGATCAGGGAAGGCTTCTGAGAGGCAGTGATATTTAAACATATATGAATGAAATGAAGAAGAGAACCAGGTGAACGTCATGTCTCAAAGAAAGGAGTGAAAAGAATAAAGATAGAAAGAAGGGGGAGAGGGAGGAAAATAAAATGGCACAGAGAAGGCTTCTCTAATGCATAGTTAACTTTAAAATCCCTTTATTAAAGGTAATGTAATTAAAATGTAATGCAAGAAGAAAATATGAGAACTTACATATAAGGAGAAAAAGTATTTGGGAATATATATACACATATTTATATATAAAAATATTCACTATTATTTCAATTATTTTGTGTTGCACTATGTAAATCAAAACATATTCTATAAAATTAAACATGAATCTGAATATACTTCACTATGCAAATCAAATTTATATTTCACAGATTTTTTAAATTTACACATCTTTCAGGGTAAAGTTTAAAGGCTACCACTTCCATGAAGTTTTCCTTAGCAAAAAGCACTATCTGAAATGTCATTGCAAGCCATACATCTCATTTGCATTTATACTGATGTTCATGCCTCTGCATGTTTAACAAGCCTAGACCTGCATGCCTTGAAGATAGTAAATGCTAAATAAAGTGGAAAGAAAGGAGTTATTATAAGCAGTAGTCAAAGAACACTGTATTATGATTGCATGTATGCAAGTGTGTTTAGAGTATATCTTTGAAATAAAATGGCTCAGTATACACAGAATAAGATATCTAAAAAAGATGCTATAATACATATATCCCCAGGAACATTTCATGTAAATGAAATATAATTACAGAAAAAGAAATAAAACATGATTCTATAGCCACAGAAGCAACTTAAATTTTCTCTGAATATTTAATGGAAGAAAAATTAGATCATTCTGACATTAAAATCAGACCTTTTTGGCAAAACGGTGAAAACACAGGGTGTAAAATAATACAAATTACTTACAACCATTTTATTTAGAGACACCCAGCAGTCTGGTGGGAAATCCTGTAGCAGTGGAACTAAGAACTGAAGACAGCCGTCCCAGTGGCAGAGGAGCAGCATCATGCCGATGAGGTTAAAAATTCTCACCACTGCACTGGCGAGATCATATGTCATGTGAAAAATCTGTTGACCAAAACAGAAAATTGATTCTTATAATACTTACAATCAATTTTTTTAAGTCAAGAATACTACCAATGTCAGTAGGCATTATGTGGTTTCAGTACTTATTTAATACAATCCTGGGAAGAACTTTTACCAATAGAAACAGAGATTCCATATTTTTATCTTTACATTGAGGCCTGGCACTCTGCTTTATGAATATTACAACCAACTGTGGGTTCACCAGAAGAACAGAGATCATATGAACACTCAAATGCTTGGATCATGTTTTAAAGAACATCGATTTTGCCACTAGTTTTCATTTACTGTCCTTTAACAGCTTTAAAACAGATTAAGAAATTTGAGAAATGATGGGCACCCTCTTCTCTACCTCTCAGCTCTCTTTTAATTAGGGAATTTGTTGAAGGACAAAAAAAAAAGGAGCAAAAGTAGTTTAATTGTAAAATATAAAGATTGAGAACTAATCAATCACAATTAGCTTTACAGGTATGAGTAGACGTACTTTATTGTGTATAATGAACATGAATAGTGGACTTTGACATAAAGGTTCTCTGAATTTGCTTAAAAAATATTTGTATGATATTTATTTAAAATTAATTTAAATATTTAAAAATTAAAATTATTTCCATTTGTACTATTTATATAGTACAGGTTTAAAAATTAAAATTGTTAGTTCTATTTGTACTTCTGTGTATAGTACAGGTGACTCTTTCCTGTGAACTATTTTTAGTTATATTTTAACAAAATCCAATGTGATAGGTGATATTATTTCAGAAAGCACAAAAATTATGACTAATCAACAACCTCCATCAGAATTTTAGAAGTGAAAACTTACATACAACTTTTATCTTTAACTTCTCATTCATCTAGTTATTACCAGAAACAAATCAGATCTGAATCCTTTCTTTAGCAACTCATGTTTTATCACTCTCCCACTGCGAATATGGTTTCTGCTTATATTTCGTCGAGTTTAGAATAACATAACCCACTTGGGAGCAGATCTACATTCTAGGATGAAGCTTTTTTTTTTAGTTGTTAAAGGGCTACTGAACTAATAAATAAAAATTTTGAACGTGTAAAGACAAAAAGGATACTTTTAGATATTTAGAATCACATTTTGTATAATGCACCAAAAGAATTATTTATTTTGTTATCATTAATCTACAATTACATGCAGAAAATTATGTTTACTAGGCTCCCCCCTTCACCCAGTCTCCTCCACAATCTGCATTACAGTCACTGTCCATCAGCATAGTAAGATGCTGTAGATTCACTACTTGTCTTCTCTGTGTTGCACAGCCTTCCCCATGCCCCCCCTACATTATACATGCTAATTGTAATGCCCCTTTATTTTTCCCTGCCCTTATCCCTCCCTTCCCATCCATCCTCCCCAGTCCCTTTCCCTTTGGTAACTGTTAGTCCAAAGAATGATTTATTTTTGAAGTAATTAAGATACCATTTATGGAGAAATTATCTGATAAATGGAAAAAAAATACAAATTTTGTATTTTTGATTTAGAAACTATATCTTCATAAGGAAACTTCAATAATTCTTAATAGATGCATACTGACATATACAGAAGTAAGATGACAGGACGCTAGGGATTTTGCTTTTATAAAATCACCAAGTCTCTTTAATTAAATGCTTTTCACTTCAATACATTTTTATTAGCCATTAATTATTTCTTCAAACAATCTTCCTTTTTACATGGTAATTATAGTAAACAAAAAAATTCTTCTTTGTGGAAAGGTACACATTTCCTTTTAAAAGTAAGATTAGGGTCTTGGACTTTAAAGGAAACATATCAATCATATTTTGATATTACAGACAGCTATACACAATTTACTCTAAAGCATTAAGAATTGTATTTTCCTCTAAACTATTTTGTTATTCAATTTTATATTTGTCAAACCCACAGAAAAATCCCTTTAATGTTATTTTCTCTGATATATCTTGGCCGCTGAATTTGTAAGCAGAAATTGTATAAACATAGCTATCAATAATTTCTCATTAAAAGCAATATAGTAAACACAAATTAAAGTTTTTCTACTATAAAAGTAAGAAAAATATCACCACGGATTAAAAATAAAATTTGTCTAGTAATAGAATTCTGTATTTATATCTAAGTCTGACAAAATGGCTCACTGTCTTGGGTAAGTGTTTTCTGTTGGGTAATAGGGTAAATTTGCAGAACATTAACTTCTGGATCAAATAAGAAACTAATCACTAAACCTAATAATCTGAAGTAAACAATATCTCCAACTCTGCCAAATTAAAAGCATACAGGCTGCAACTGTCATTCAATTATCAGACTTTAGAGAAGTCTGGGATGTTAATAGAGAACTAGAGCCCATTCACAGTACAGCTGAGTTTTATCAATTTTCTACTTTCTTTTTGAGGAATTATATTATTTTTGTGGGATTTTTAAGACACTCTTTACTAAATTAAGATAAGATATGCTAGCAGTTATTCATCAATTCTTTTAAGAAAACCCTATTATTTCTGAAATATTTTCCAGAGAAACAAAGCCACCACTCTTATAAAGAAAGTTAATAGGGATATAAGGCCTTTCATAACATATTAGAAACATTTTTTTTGTTTTGTTTTGTTTTGCTTCCATGTGATTACTGAACTCCTATTCTGACAGGATAATTCCTGTAATTAAGCCTATTTTCTACCAATTTCCATTCTCAACCTCACAATATATTAGTATATTATGTCCTACTGCTAGATTTATACACTAACTCTACTATACAGAGTGCTCAGGATTAGCTCACATAATCTCATAAACCATTTCCCTTTTTGGTTTCTAACATTATGTGTTCAATGTAATCTCACTTTTTAAAGCTACCCCAAAATTGAACTTTGGAAGAGGCATAAGCAAGTTGGCAATTCTGACACTGGTTAGTTAGTTTTGACATTGATTGGAGGCTAATTTCAAGTAGTCAAATCCATGTATCTCCATCCTGATATATCTCCCTAACAAAAGAACACCATACTGTATGTAGTATTACTTTTGATGTGTACATGAATGTGTACAGTGCCTGGGCCCAAACTGATTGTCTCTTGAGTGCTTATAACTAATGCACTATGGCAGACATAATCAGCATATGGACAGTTGCTAAGATTATTAATGGCCCTGTTAAAACCTTGCGTATGGAAGATTTGGAATGAGATTATTTCTTTATGGGACATATACATCTGTAGTATACATCCACACTAACCAAAAAAGGAAATATCTGATCTAATTTATGCACAGCCACAACTTATCACCTAAGTCAGTCTTTAGGATAAATCTAAGTATGACTTTATTCAACTTTCTGATCCAGTGGTTCAGTGCCATCAATCCATTAATTTTTTTCAGTTTTTTTACATCTTATAAGGCAGACATCCTTAAGTGATAAATTCCCATTTAAATCAACTATCTTAATGCTGTTGCATGAAAATCTGACTTCACACAAGAATGGCAAAATAGATGAAACACAGAAAATTGTTAAATGAATGAATGAGAGTGCTGCAGGAGTTTAAGAAAAAAGCCTAAGTCACCTTTTATGATCATAAGAGTGCAAAGCTTTTGCTTCTGTGTTTTAAACCAAGGAATTAAAAAAAAAAAAAACTCTTCATTATTTTCTGCCTTCCAAACAATCTGATTTGAAGCCTGATTTGAGTGTTCAGTGTGGGTAGCAGAAAAACAGGCTGTTCTGACCCATTAGAAATACTCTTTTTAAGTGGTACTTGAACTAAAAAAGGGAATTAAAGTAAGTTTTAAAGCAGCTCTTTTTTATTTTTGTCAAAAACTAGACTCTGTGGTATGTCAGTGGGCAGCACTGGGCTTTGCATTTGTCCAGGCCAGAACACCGTGTTGTTCATATGATTTCAGTGACAGGAAAGATCTGGTCACAAATTCTCACTGAATTCATCTTAGATTATAGTTCTGGAATTCTGCCCATTTGGAATCCAGTGAATCCAGACAGGACAGCTAATTACTTTTCAAAACTGAAAAATGATCTGATTAAGAAAATTCAATTCAGAAGCCCCAATTCTGCCCTAATATTTGCAGAATCATTCACCATAAGTATAGTATTTTGTGTATTCTATCCTGTTTTTAAAAGGTCAAATCTTAAAGTATGTTGTATGGCAGATATCCATAAATTATCTGAGTTTTTAAAAAATGCTTCCATATTCTTCCTTGATAAAGTGGGTTCACAGGTTTTCAATCTAAGAGCCTGCCTATGAAATCAGTGGGCCCAACTATACCTGACCACAAGAATTGTCAAGAGTAATTTAAGAATTTTCATAGTATGCACTGATCTGTCCTTAGTCTTTGACATCACATAGAGGAATCATTTATAGTCTAGGTTGCTTCTATTATCTCCTTATTGACTCAAGGTTTTGAATATGCCTTCAAAATTCTTATCAAAGTAACATTAAGAGAATCAAATGTGCCCGAAACAGCTCTTTGACATTCTTATTTTTAAGGTGTAAAACAACTTGGGTTCTTTTGTTTCTCTTTATAAATATGCACCTGCACAACTTGAACATAACTTTTAAATGGAGCGTCTATGTGCCACGATGACACAATACAGGAAAACAAATTTTTAGCCATTCAGTCTGTTTCACAGCTCACATATATCCAGGATTCAGTATGTAGTCATCCTAACCAGTATTTTAAGAGCCCTACTGGACCTTCTGCAATTCTTATGTTGAGAATGGCCCAGGCTCCCAATCATGCTTTAAGTACAAAGTACAGAAGGTTTTACTTGATATACGAGAAGCACTCTTCATAGTCACCTCTTTGAACACTGCCCATGACTGCAATCATTGGACGAATCTCACCAGCCCCCTACCCCAACTAGGATCTCATTCAGAATGGCCCATAACCTTCAGAGAAGTCAACCATCTGGGCCTCTCATTTCCATCAGCCTCTGTAGGGAGTCGAAGTACAATTATCCATTCCCCAAGCTTGAGTACCTCACGCTGTGGAGTGCTTCTTTCCTGGGTTC